TAAGTCCTTGACATTTGAGAAGTTTAAACATATGTATTAGTTTTTAATTACAATTGAGATCAAAATATTCAAAGCAACAGGTTTCTAAATCATAAAGTAGGTTCCTTCTAGCAAGTTACCTATTGAAAGTGACCCACTTATAAAATATTACCTCTTCTTCTATGATTTGTTCATTGCTTTTCCCTTTGGATTCTCAATAAACATGGACTTCCTTCTCAAATATGCATTGACAAAAAAGTACACAAATGCTTGTAACTGCCCATCACCTTTGTTCATGGATTTCTGTGTTTAGAGGTATAACTGACAATTATTCACTCAACTCCTTGGCAAGGAGGAGTTACAAAGGCACAAATTAGACCAACTGTCTCCACGTTCCGCATAAAATACATGTATAAAATAAAACAAAGATAGTTGAAAAGTGGGGAGGTTATTATGTTTGAAATTCTTATATGGGGATGTGTGGGTGGAACCCATGTTTCATAATTAAAATTAATTTTCTAAACGGGATTAAGGTGTGGGGAGGCTTTTATGTTTAAAATTTTTTAAGATTTTTAAAATTTAAAATTAAATTTTGAATTAATTGAGAAGGTATGTTAATGGATAAGATCACAAAAAATGGTGAGAATATTAATTTTTTTGAAAAAAGAAGTGAGAATACTTAGGGATAAGGTAAAGTTGATCATGGTAGCTTCCATATTATAAATTTAAAAACTAAGACATCAGTATATCTAAATTATAAATAATATATTCAAATTGAACTTTTAAATTATAATTAAAAATTTAAGTTAATTTTACAAATAGGATATGGAGTGAGGAAGTTATGATACTAAAATTTTTCAAAAATGTTTAAAATTAACATTAAAAACTGCAAATTAGTTAGAAGTCATGGTTGAAAATTGATATCATGGGAGAGAGTATTTTGAAATAAGGAAAATAATTTTTGTTAGTTTCAGAAATGATGTTGATAACTTTTTTAAAAAATATTTTTTGAAATTACTAATGAGGTAGGTAACTTAAAATTGCATTATTTTGAAAAATGCTTACGTGTCAAGCTCAGAGAAGTACTTGTTATTCTTCTATTATATATATATAGATTCTAGCATATAAAGAAAAAAAAAGATATTTTTTGCATAAATTTGTTAGGAACATAGGAAGGCAATTACCTATATAATGGTACAATGTTACGTACCACTCATGTTGAAAGAAATGTCATGAAAGTCATCACCTTAAATGGTTTGAAGCAAAATGAGAAAGTGTTAATTTTATCAAATGGACATAAATCTTTCATAAAATAAATGGCCCTTCCATTTGCAAAGAAGGCAATTTTTTATTATTATTTCATTTGTAAAGACAATCAATATGAGTCAAAGACAGTCATTGTGAAATGTTGGATTGTATTTACTGAAGCCTGTCTTCACACAATTAATTATATGTAGTACTATCAAGAGTTAAAAGTAAGGAAGGGTTGAAAATTCTCTTGCCCCATGGAACATTTATTACAACAAAAATTATTTATAGAGATATTTTTAGAAATTTAGTGTAACATATGTTTCATTTATTTATCTATTTAAAGATAATTTAGATTAAACATTCTGTGGTTGAATAAGATTAAATTAGTATAATATAATGCTGGGAGTAAAGGCTAGTTAAATATATATATATATATATATTGAAACTTGTTGCAATAAAAAACATAAAGTTTATGAAAATAATAAAATGGTAAAAATTAAACTATTTTAATATGAATATATATAATTTAAATTCTTAAACCATAATGGCCAATTTAAAAAAGTAAATAAGCAAATTATCTCCTAAATTTTAGATCCAATAGAACTATAAATTATGAACTTATTCATTATATAAATTATTTTTTAACTTTTAAAAAACAGTGTAATATGATTTCTGCCATTAACAAAAGTTAATTTTAACTATTAGTTGATTAAAAAATAAAAAAAATTTAAAAAATTATAAAAAAGGGCTAAAAAATAATAAAGGGCCCAAAAATTATTGACAAGGACCAAAAAATTAACTTTTCTATAATTTTGATGTTTTTTCTATCATTTTTTAATTAACGATCAAAATTAATTATTATTAATAATTAGAGTTATATTGCACTATTTTTGAAAGTTGATAGAATAATTTACATAATAAATAAATTCAGGTTCTAAAGCTAGCAATTCAGGTAGGCTAGGTATATTCGGGTTGGGCAAGTTTGAACTTACAGAAAAGGATGAACAGCCAAGCTTGGCTCGAACCTCTTTAGTCTAGCCCATACCTAAATAATCATTTTTTATTTATTAAAATTACTTTTAATTTAATTTTTTGTTCTCAAATTAATTTTTTTAATTTATAAAAAATATAAAATATATTTCTAGGGATAATTAAATGATGTAGAAGATCAATTTTTTAAAAGGAATATGCGGGTCTTAACATTTAAAAATCAATATTAAAATACATTTAAAATATTTTTTGAGATATTTTGTAAATTAAAAATAATAAAAAATATGATAATATAAATATTTTTAATATTTTAAAAACATCTATAATAGTATACTAAAATATATGATATCTTAATAAAAACTGATCTAAAACTTAAGAATTAATTAATACCTATATATATTTTTTAAAATGTAATTTTTTAAATTCGGATATTTGGATCAAGTCCAAACTTGTTTGGGCTTGCCTGAATTTTTTTTTTTGCACAGAAATTTAAAAAGTAGAATTTTATCAAACTCAACTCCAAATTTTTTTGAGCTTATTTGGGCTAGCTTATTAGGTTTAGCTTGAATTATAAACTCTATCAGAATTTATGGTGCTATTAGATTTAAATTTTAAAAAATAATTAAAAAAATAATAATAAAATTTTTTTAAATTATATAAATGACAATCCGATATCTTGAAATGCTATAATTTTATTGAAATTTTTATGAATTTTTTTTGTCATTAATAAATTTATATAAATGGTCAAATTGTCCCTGTAGTAATATCAAGAATTTAGTTGTGATTTGCTATTGTGTTGTTGTAAATATAAAAAAATTATGATTGTTTAAAAAACTTTGGACCATTAATTATTATTTTCAACACTTGTAGCAATATTAATAATTTGACATGCGAAGTTGTGATTTCTTGTTGTATTATTGCAAATATAAGAAGAAAAATTGTGATTATTTCAACAAAACTTCTGATTATTATTTGTTATTTCTAACATTTGTAGTAATATCATGAACTTTACATATAAAGTTGTGATTTACTGTTGCATTGTTGCGAATATAAGAAGAAAAATTATGATTATTTAAACAAAACTTATTATTTTTAATACCGGTAGTAATATTAGGAACTAGACATGCGAAGTTATAGTTATTGTTACATCGTTGTGAATATAAAAAAAATTTTAATTATTTAAATAAAATTTATTATTATTATTTGTTATTTTTAACACTTATAACAATATCATGATTTTTATTTTTAACAAAGATAATTTAATTATTTATATAAATTTATTAATGACATAAATTTTTTAGAGATTTTGATAGAATTGCAATATTTTAAAAAATTAAATTATTATTTATATAATTTAAAAAACTTTTATTGTTATTTTAGTAAAATAATTTGGTCATTTATTTTTTCAAAAAATATCAAACTTTAGGGAGAGGTAGAGAGATATGGATGCATTCTTATCTTTCACGTCAGGTAAGAAATAGTCACTTGTCCCATTTTTTTATTGAAGCTTCAACTACTCCTGACGATAATTGAAACTCCTGACAATAATTGAAACACCGTACTCAACTAACGTGGACGAACAAACATTCATGACTCTAAACAAAGTCAACAAACACGAAATTTGACCCTTTTTTGGGTCCTAACACGAAAATGACTCGGATAAAAATGAATTTATAAGTTAATTAAGGAAAGTCTAGAAGGGATCGCAGATCAACTAACACGCAATTTGACCTCTTTTTTTTTTTTTGGTTCCTAACACTAAAATGACTTGGATAAAAATGAATTTATAAATTAATTAAGGGAAGTCTCCAAAATCCCTTTGCATAAAATTCTTAATTCTGAGTGAAAGGACTGGTATACTAATAATTGGACGAGTTATTAAATCAATCAAGATATTGGTTGATTAATAATCTAAATTATATATATGATGAGATTCATATTGAATTAATCAAGACACTAATTTAAGAATTAATTGATTTAACTGATTAAGTTGACTCAATTTTTTTTTTTGTTTTATGTGCTCCAGTATTCTAAGTATTTGACTTAGACTCTTGGCACTTGAGAGCACCTCCTTGTGGCATATCTCCCACACCCTTACCAGATCCGAATGTCCCCTAATGAGTTGATCCAATTTTCAATGTTGTAGTAAACGCAACAAGCGTTGAATTTTTTATTTTTTTATTTTTTCGTTCGTGAAAGAGTACAAAGTTGTAAATATCCTCCCTTCCTCTTCTACAGCCGGCTCTTTCATGGGGATTGGGTCTTCTCACATGCCATCTTGTTCTCGTTCGTTGTTGTAGTTTAAAGGCGAGAGATCGATCAAAGGGATTAATCCCTCAGCTATCATGCATAACTAAGGGCTTTGCCCTTTGTTCTAGAGCTTGAGCGAGAAATCCACCTCTCCCATGGCCGCTCTGTGGAAGGAAATCATAAACAGAGCATCTGGTTGTATTGTTGATATATATATATATATATATATAGTGGCTATGGCATTATGTACATAACATTTAACCTGAAATGGATTTATATGTATTCGGCAGTTCATCTGTTTAAAGGCTACGTGTGTTTCTGCCCTTCCGGTATGCTTCTTTTTCATTTTAGATGATCGTGTCTTGTTCAAGAATCCAATTTTTTTATTGCTATATGGTAAATTAACAGTTAGTTGTTTCATTTTGTAAAGTAACTCTTCGAAAGTGATATAAATAATTTGCAGCCACAGATGAAGTGAAGGATAATTTGTCCAAGAGTCAAACGCGAACTTAATTACTAGAAAACACTAGTAAAGGATCAAGTTCTTCTTCTTCTTCTTCTTCTTTTAAACACAATTTAAATTTATGGCAAGAAACATTACAAACTGTATTATTCTTGGACGTTTTTATTTAGTCCAATTTACATTCCCCATATAACACATACAAATAAGCGCAATTTTTTTTTAAAGAAAAAAAGAAAGAAAAGAAAATGCACTCACTTGGTCTCACATTATTGGTCAAGCCATAGAGAAGCCTACTGGCATGATATTATATTGAAGGCAGCCTGAAATGGGAAATTTGAAGGTTTTCCCCGTCCCGTTTCTGGAAATTGCTGTCCTTTCTGTTCACAAGATACTTGCCAAAATTATAGGGCTTGTATTTTGGAGGGTTTTGTTCGTTAATCAGCTCCTTCATTGGCTCAACTATGGTGTAATGCGCAGGGTTGAAGAAGAAGGGAATCGAAAACCTTTCCTTCTCAGTGTTCACAATCACCCTGTGCTCCACACTCTCGTACTCATCATTGCTCCAAACCTACACATCAAAACTCATCACAGTACAAACCAAAACAACTAAACTCAAAAATACGACGGATTCATGCTCATACAGCACGAACATCTGATGAAATTAATGAAGATGTTGAAGTGGTACCTGAAAGACATCGCCAATGTTGATGATAAAAGCTTGTGGGATGTGTTTGACCCTGATCCATTGTTGATCTGATTTGCGTCTTACTTCCAACCCTTCAACTTCATCTGGAGCGAGAATGGTTAGGGCACCAGGATCCTTGTGTCGTCCAACTCCAAGAGCCAGGTCAGGGGAAGGGCATGGAGGATAGTGATTGAATCGAATAAAGCTGCTCTGATCTTTCAGGTAATAGCCATGAAACTTCTTTGTTTCCAACCCCAAGCTCAGAGCTATCAGCTCCAACAACTTAAACGCTAGCTTTTCCATCTCATCCACATACTCTACAACTGTTTCTCTTCAATAAATAACAAGATTAAGAAATTAGTATCCCACGGGCCACAACATCATCGTTATCAATTTGCTAAATTACGTTGAAACTGCAGTACCGATTGAGTTGTAGTGTTGAGATAGATACCTTAGGTCCGGAGGGGATTGAGGGTACCGATTAGTCCACTGAGTAGTTCGATCATCGTCTTCATCACCGGAAATAGGGACCAGGGTTGGTTCTTTAGCCAGAAAATCAATACCCTCCTTCCAGTCTCTGACATTTTTGGTGTGCTCTGAATCGTAATAACCAGGCAAACTTGTGTGGTCTCTGGCCACCTTCCTCTTCTCCTCCAAACTCTGCGAAAAAAACTTTCTCGAAACGTCCTCGATTCTGTGTCTGAGATTCAGAGGAACCCCATGATTGGTGACTTGGAAGAATCCCCACTCCCTGCATGCTCTGCCGATCTCTTTCACGACGCCTTCAATGGCGGGCGGGTCTGAAACGGTGTCGTTTTGCAAGTGCCGATGGATTGAAGACAGGTCGATGACGGGAATGCCTTGAGTTTCGGCGACGAGGGAGAGATTAGGCCTGTGTTCTGGTGCTTGAATGAAAGCTGGGTCTACCTCTCCCATGGCTTCTGCTTCAAGTTGGGGTGGATGGTTCTGTTCTGAGTGATGCTTGGACTGGTTAAGAGAGGGGAAGAAGAAGGACCATAAATATTATTCACTGAACCTGGACGGGTTTGTAATATAGTGACGAACAAATGGTTCATCGATCGGTTGCTTGGGGGTGGTTCATCAGTTCAGGTACCCTGTCGTTTTTCTTGTGCTGGACTATTGTCTATATTTTAGCTATTAAAATATCTATAATCAATGGTTGTAATTTGTAAGAGAGGGAAAAAATAATAATAGTACCAAATTAGGCCGGTTGAATTAATAAAAACTTAGCTCATAATCCACAAAATTATGGGATCAACAAGAAAACTTTATTTATGGGTGATTTGCAAAAGTTTTTTGAATTTAAAAATATATTTTGGCCTTGATAAGTTTCTGAAATTTAATTTACCTAATTTTTTTATTATAAAAAAGGAAAAAAAAAAAAATCATTGGGTCATATTGCTACAGGCTTAGTTATGTAATTCACTGCTCTTTAGAGGTTTTAATTTAGTGCAATTCAATTACTATTATTTTGAACTTGGTTGAAACTTTATTCATGAATTTTAAATAATAAAACTTAACTTATATAATTTTAGTCATTTAAAATATTTTTTTAAATTTTAATATTTTATATGGTTAAAATTTTAAAAGCTCATTGTATCGAATCAAAATTTATTATTAAATTATAATCGAGTTAAAATTATATATACATAAATTATTTTAAATGTACAAAGGAAACATTCTTTATTGAAGCAATTCTCTCCTAAATTAGAGGCATATTGCCATGCCCTACAAACCCTTTAATAATGTTTAGGTTTCTAAAATTCTGGTGACCTATTCCCAGAAAAAAATTCAAGGAATGGACACACTCGTATGTTACTGGTTTGATCTTTCAAGTGCTCTCCATCAACTTCACAGTTCACACCCAATTTATTGTTTTTTGTTCAACAAACATATGGTAATAGATGGAGTTTACCAAATATAACCAAATAATTTATTTCTTTTACTGTTAATTTTTTTTTTATATAACTATAGAACAACCCTCAAATTGCAAATACTACTAGTTTGTTAATAATTAGTTGGTTTGAAGCTATGGCATGGCATCAATTCAAAATAATCCAGTCCACAATTTGTATCAATTAAAATTATTGTTATTATTATATATAAAGCAGATAGATAACATGGATAAACCTATGGCGGGAGCGTGGATATTTCAAAATAATTTGTCAAACAGGGCAAAGGAAGGCCGTGAAGTCCAGCGATTTTCTAGTGTTTCAGCATTTTCTTCCATTTAGATAAAGATGGAGTGTTACGAAGTTTAATTTGTACTCATCCCTCCCCTAAAAAATGTAGGAATCATATGTTAAAAAATGTAGGCATTTTTAATATTTTAAAGTATAATTAATATATTTTTTTAATGTTCTTAGTAAATAAATTATTTTATATTAATTTTTAAAGTAAATACCATATTAAATAACGGTAAATATAGAATATGGTGTTAATTTAAAAAAATTAACTAATTTATTAGAAATGAGATTTGGTTAAAAATGAATATAACATCATTAATTGTTTCTTTATCATGAGTTTGGCTTTTTTATATAGAGAATATTAATGGAGGACCCTGAAAGAATTTAACGTCCGACAAGGCTCTTAACAAAATGAATACTTGTTACAATAATAACTTCATTTGTTAATTATTAATATTTACTTGTTAAATGTCCTTTTATAAAATTAAATTACTTTTAAGATCCTTTACTGATGTTTTCCCTTCTTTAATAACATATAAATCTATATCTATATGATATACTCTAAGCAGTTGTATTATTTATAAATTATGAACAATGAGTTAAATTTTATGTAAAGCACATATTCATAGGAAAATGACCAAAATATCATCAAAAAGAAAATTAAAGTTTTCTTAGCAGGTTTGAAAAGAGAGGTGAGTTGTTTGGGCTTTCATTTGGGCTTTTTGGACTTTTCTCATGTGATTCCATTAATGTATAGGGCATTCCTTCCTAGAAAGATTGGGTTCGCATTTGAGAACGCCTTCGACAATGGTAAAAAAGATGGCTTAAAACGCAACCAACGACCTTAATGATACCTTCGAAAATAATAGTGTCCACTCATTTTACTTGTTCTTGTTATCTTGAATGACAATATTGGTATATTAATTAGCAGTCCAATCAAACACAAATAATTAGTATGAAAATAAAAACTAAGAAAATTCAAGAAGAGATAATAAAATTAAGAAATACTAAAATTACAATCAGCATATATTAATTATTTTAATATCCAACAATAGCCGGTGGAGGTGGGGAGCTATATTGGGCCCCAAAGGTTGGGGGTATGATGACATCATTCCATGCCGGTGGAGGTGGAGAAAATATAGAAGTTAGAGGAGGAGAACTAGTTGGTGGTGGACGAGAGTGAACTGGCGACGGCGGTGGCGAAGATTGGATTGGAGGAGGAGGAGAGTGAATTGGTGGTGGTGGAGAGTGGACTGGAGGAGGAGGAGAGAACACTGGTGGTGGTGGAGACTGAACTGGTAGCGGCGGCGAAGATTGGATAGGAGGTGGAGGAGAGAACACGGGTGGTGGAGGAGGGTGAACTCGTGGCAGAGGAGGAGAGAACACTGGTGGTGGTGGAGAGTGAATTGGCGGCGGTGGCGGAGATTGGACGGGAGGTGGAGGAGAGAACACGGGTGGTGGAGGAGCGTGAACTGGTGGCGGAGGAGGAGAGAACACTGGTGGTGGTGGAGAGTGAACTGGCGGTGGTGGCGGAGAATGGATGGGAGGCAGAGGAGAGAACACTGGTGGTGGTGGAGATTGGACTGGCGGTGGAGGAGAGCGAACTGGCAAAGGAGGAGAGAACATGAGTGGCGGTGGAGGAGAGTGAACCAGTGGCTTTACCTTTGGTGATTTTGGTGTTAATGGGGTATGGTTGTTGTCACCACTCCTACAACTCTTACTGCAATCTACGGGGCGAGTCACCACCGGGAGACATTGCTTGCTTGTCTTTTGATTTGACCTTAATGGCAAACAATTATTGTTATCATCAAAAACAACATTTTCTCTTGCAGAAGGTGCACAAGATTGAGCTTCTCCGTTAAAGTAATTGTCAGAGAATGTGAATTTGGTCAACCTCGGTAGCTTGCAAATGGTGTCCGACACATACCCAGATATCTTATTATGTGAAATGTCTATTACCTCCATGCTCTTCACACCTGATAGGTTTGGCAAAGTCCCAATAAACCCATTATGACTTGCATCAAAAACTGTCACATTTCCTAATAATCCAATCTCTGTTGGGAAGCAACCTCTAAGGCTATTGCCTAAGAAAATGATTTCATTCAAGTTCCTCATGTTCCCAATTGATTTTGGTATGCAACCTGTGAAATTGTTGTTAGCAAATGTTACCACAGAGATTGTGGAGTTTCCTAGGTTTTCTGGGATGGTTGAAACAAAACGATTATTGTTCAAGAACAATGCATCAATATCTTTCTCAAATAGCTGTGGAGGCAAAGGTCCTTCAAAATCATTATACCTGAGATCCAAGTACTTTATATTTGGCCATGTAAGGACTACGAGAGGAAAAACACCAACAAATCTATTGTTACTGATATCAAACTCGTACATGAGGGTGAGATTCTTAAAGCTATCTGGAACAACCCCACAAAACCTGTTAGAGTTTATATGGAAAAGAGCCATGTCTGTTAAAAGGCCTAACTCTGGTACAAGACTCCCAGCAATGTCTGCATGGTTGAGATCAATTCCAGCAACAACAGTTAATTTAGGGTCATCAAGAGCTTGAGCACAGAACACGCCATTATAAGAACATACATCAGAACCCACCCAATTGTCAAGTGTGTTCAATGGATCGGAGTATATGGCACTTTTCCATGCTTGAAGAGCAACATAAGCATTTTTAAGCCTTCCATGGTCAAAAGTCAAATTAGCATCCAGTTGAATATTAAAATCTAATGAAAAATTGCTATCCCCTGTTATTGATGGAAGTAAATGAGAGAGAGAAGATAAAATGAAGGAGCTAAAGATAAAGCAGCCTAAAGCTTGTTTCGAATATGGTTTAGCCATGATATCTTAACAGGCATTAAGCTGCTTATAATTAGTAAGCTAAGGAAATAAACTCGACATTCAGCTTATATACTTGAGAGAAGGTGGATGACAACATTTGAATAACGGTGGAAATTGAAAACCAATTTTAGACCCTACAAGATGGGTTCTCTCTTAGGTACTTCTATCTTTGGCATGCCTTTAGTTTTCTTTTCATGCAGATCTACGGAGGATTGGTTATGATTATAATGATTTTAGAATCTAGTGGCGAACAATACAACCAAAGCCAATAAATTGACTTTGACTTGGTCTTTCTTTAACAGTGATTCCGAGAAGGTATACATCTGTGAACAACTTTCTCATTCCAAAAATGGTTGCAAAATGAACGGAAACAAGGCTATGGAAAATGTTAAATTATGTAACGCGTTGTGAGAACATGCTGTCAATATGAGTTACGTTTTATATTTAAATGCTTGATTTTTTTTTTAATTTTAGCAACGTGTGTGTATTTTTACCACTCGTATTTAATATTTGTAGTGTATTCCACTCACTTTATGTTGATTATTTATTTTGGTAAACTATCGAAGCAAAAAACCACACAAAAAGAAATTACACAATTAAACGTGGGCTAGTGCACCCTAATTCATGCCTATGCAACAAGCCACATGAACCTACAAGAGTAGTACTACGTTAACGTGGGCTCATGTGAAAATTATCAAAGGTTTTTTCCCTTAACTAATTTAAGTTAGTCCCCTTCATCTAGATTCTAGATACAGTAGTTAGAGGTCCTTATATATAAGGGCAATACTTAGCAGGGCATAATACCATATACTGTGCTAATTAACAAGTGATCACACGTAGATCCTTCAACCCATAATAAACATGACAGCAGCTAGAGGACTTTTCACCTTGTTCAATTGTTAAATGCTAATACTTCATAAGATTTAAAGGCAGAGTGAAGCCACCAATATTGAAAGGGAGAATGATAAAGAGGTTTTAAAAAGATTAATTAATTTAAATTAAGTTTTAAGTGTTAAATTTTAGAAACTTTTAACTTAATTTTTTAATTTTGCATTTCTGTCACGATGAATTTTTAATTTGTATTCTAAATTTTAATAGAAATTTTTTTATTTTTCAACCATGTTAAAATTTAAAAATAATTTATAAATTTATCACAATATAATTATAAAATTGAGAGATTGAATTATAAATTTTTAAAATTTGACAATTGAAATTATAATTCTTTTGTCATTCTTCCATTGAAATAAATGACTATTCGAACGACCAATCTATGAGGGGAAAAGTCCAAAAGCCCATTAGAGATCGACATAGCCTCGTATATGAACAATTAATATACATTAGGCGTCAAACAATTTTAATTTAATTTATGTAATTTCGTCTTTTCCAGCTAGAGTCGAAAGGGTCATGTAGCTAGGTTTCTTAGAGCCATATAGTGCCCGTTTGGATAAGGAGAAAACGCGCGTTTGGACCCAAAATCAATTTTTTCTGTCAATCTATCCAAACAGTCGAAAATGATCAAAGGTCAATTATGGGCCAAAATGCGCGTTTTTTCCGAGCTCCCTTCGACTGCTTTTTGCCAAAAGTTGTCAAAACGTTGGGAAAAAAAAAAAAAAACAGGCCCAGGAAAAAATTATAAAAAGCAACATAATTTAATAAAATAAAAATTAAACTCTCTTCTTTTTCTTTTTTTTTCCTTAATAAAATTTAAACTTTATATATTTAAAAATTAATATTTGATATTTAAAAATTAAATTATTAGTTAAAAATTAATTTTGATTAAATTATCCAAATATCTTCAATTCTGTTAAAACAATTTAAAAAAAAACAGTATCCAAACAGATTACGTTATAACATAATCAATTATGATTTAAAATCTACCACTTAATCAATTATTTTTATAATTTATTATACCCACTGAAATCCCAAAAAAGACCCATAGACAGATTGTAATTGACAAGGAAAAATAATTTCATAAAAAAGCAGATAAAAAATTTAAAAGCCAGCAAAAGACCTTTGGATATAATGTGATAACGTAACGTATTTCCTTTTAGAGGGCACTATTTGCAGGAGGCATTTATTGCGAACGGCGATGTCTTTCAAACATTTTAAAAAAAGTTTCGAGCCTGGTGGTGGGATAAATAATATTCATGTGCCATTTTCGATATATAGTAGGTGGATTACGTTTTTTTAATATCATTCAAAAGTAATGCCAATACTTGATAATGAATATATCAATATATAATTAGGATAAGCATTTGGTCAATTCGGTCGGCTCGATTTTAATTTTGTTAAAATTAATCGATTAAATTAATATAAAAAATTTAGATCAAATCGAATCGAAATACATAACCGAACTGAATTTTAATAATTCAGTTCGATCGATGTATTCGATTTATGAGCTTTAATTTGGATCTATAAATTTAATTATTTATATATTTTTCTATCTAATTTTTTTTTCTTGACATTGAGGCCCAACAAAAGAATACATCTTATACATAATTTATGAGAAAATTAATAAGATTCAACACTATTGTACTAAAAACTAAATTATAGAAATTAAAAATTAAAACAATCACATTAAACAAAAAAAATACTATTACTGTAAGCAGTATAAGATATTTCTACTCACCTAGATGAGAATTTATTCACATTTTCAAAAATATGAAAGAAAAGAATATAGATAATTTGGTCGGTTTAATTTATTTAATTTTTGAATTCTCAGATCAAATCGAACCGATCAATCAAAATTTTCATTAAAAAAACCGAATCGAACTGAAAACTAAATGGACTAAATCAAATAGACAAAATTCGATTCAATTTGGTTTGATTTTCAGTTTCGATTCGGTTTTGCTTACCCTTATATACAATTAGCATAAATGAAAATAAATAAATTTCTACAATTCACAAATTGTAAAACGTGAGAGTGACACATTAGGACTACGGAAAGAAATTAATTAAAGGACCGTGAATTTTTAAAATTACATAGAAGGACTAATTTTTTTTAAAAAAGTTAAATGAATGAAGGTGCCCTTGTGTAGTCCACATTTAAAAAAAGTATGATACAATAGATGCATTATTTTTTAAGATTTAGAAAACAAGCATAATAAATATATTTCACTATTTTTAGATATAAGTGCAATATCTTAAGTTTTCCGAAGATATTTTAAAAATAATATAAGAATATTTGTAACAATTAATTAAAATATTAAAATTTTAAAAGTTTTTAAGTGTTAATAAATATTTTTTTTAAAAAAAATTGTGATACAAATATTAAAATATGCAATACATATCCTAGATAAAATGTAATATATGTACTGTATCAATTACATATCAAAAAAGTTTATTTTATTTTAAAATATGGATATTTTCACTACCTAAAATTGGATTTAGCAAAAAGTGTTAATTTTTTACAACATAACAAATTAAAAGTTTCAAAAATTGAATCGGGGATGGGCAATTGGAAGGAGAGGGGAGGAACGGAAGAAACGTACGTGGAAGCAACACTCGCGAGACTTGTATCATTTTCTTTTTGTGTTCCCCATATTTCTTCAGAGGGCACCTTCTTCCTCTAAATAAAGACCAAAGTGACAAACAACATTATTGGAAAAGGCTGGACAAATCAAATTCCAGTTGTATCTTTTTTTGGGAATTTAAAATTGTTTCTGGAAATCCCCAGCCTGTGGAAAATCGAACCGAACCTAGATGCACCACGATTAGCATCGTTATTTCCGATTCGGAGTTCTGATGTTTTGGCCTCGTGTTTGAATTTGAAGCTGGGGATTCGCTTTTGTAGGTGATCACACTGAAAAATTGGGGGCTTTTCGAACAATGAAGCCCATGAATACTGTATATGATCTGATTGAAGAGGCTAAGGTCCGAACTGTATGGTGGGCCCTTTCTATATTCGCCATTACCTATTTCTTAACACTCGTAAGTGATTCAAATTGGGTTTGGTTGGGATAGTGTAATTTTTGTTAATTTATTGTTAAATCTGATGTTTTCAGAATGAACGGAATGACTTTGTATCTGCGTATCTTCAGATGATCTGGGTTTTGCTATGAAAACTATTAATTGCTATCGTTTATAGCAAAAAGTTTGAGCTTTAGCTTGGCCGTCAGTAGCTGAACTCTCCTTATATGCTAAGAAAATTAAAAGTTGATAAATTTTGCTTGCTTCATCACCATGCCTGCTTTAAGCTCAGTCGATTGCTTAAAGTTCACATATATAACCTGTTTGATATAATTATGATTTACAAGAGTTTAAGTGTCGTACGTCCCCATGCTATTTGCTTGGTTTTCATTCCTAGTCTCAGCTAGGCACAACCCCGCTCTTTAAATTACTTGGTGGCTTGTGCTTCCCTATTTTGGGGCCATATCCCCCTAATTAATGACCGTACTTCAGTTTGTTCTCATTCTGGTCATAAGCATGACTTCCAATGTAGTAATTCATATCCTTATTAATAAACGAAGAAGGGAAACGGACTAACATTGGCATTCAAGTTGAACCCCTATTTCGTATTGACATTCTTATTGTGTCACAGATACAAGTAAGTCGATGTGGATGAATGTACCCATCTCAATTCTATTTGTTTCTGCACTGCGCATTCTTTTGAATAATGTGGAGTTCCGTTGGAAGGTTAAACCGCCTCGGTCACAGACATACTTATCTCATTTGGAGAAGAAACATTATCTCTGAATGATCCACGCCTCTCTACTCCACCTCCCCCTGCAAAATGGAAGAGGAAAATTGATTCTCCTGTCGTGGAGGCTGCGCCAATGATTTCATTGACAAGATATTGAAGGATTTTGTCATAGATTTGTGGTACTCAGATATTACTCCAGATCGAGAGTTTCCTCAGCACATTCATGCAATTATAATGGATGCTCTTGGTGAAATATCGGAATGCTTAAAGAGATAAACCTTGTTGACATACTCACAAGGTATCAGATTCCCCCATCCTCTGTGTGTATGTGTGTGTTTTTTCCTCTCTTGAAAAAGATAGGATTGGGAATATGGCGAGT